TATAGACACGCATAGTGTTCTCTGTAAACCTCAGATACCACTGTTGGGTCATTTGTTGGTTCTCCGTTTCTGTCCCTCAAGGAGAGCGCGGATGCCTTGTTTCTGCGGCGATGTCTCATGTACTTGAACTGTACGTTTTTGTTTTCTCGAGCGAGGTCCAGAATGGTGGCTTGTTTTCGTATGTTCCATTGGCGGATTTCCGATTTACAGCGGTTCCGCATTTTACGAAATGCCGGCTCATCCGTTCGACCTAACCGCCAAGCTTGGCGCTGTTGCCACTCACCCATCCTCATATCCCACACTACTTCTGGGAAAATGAAACAATGCAGGACGAACCAGGAATGAGCCGTGTTTGGACAACTGCTCCTCAACCTCCCTTGACCCACACCGTAGATGGCGTGCCAATATATATGCACCTAGTCCCAAAGGAGCCAAACCGATTCCTTGCGTGGATCCTGATTTTTAGTTTCTAATGAACCAGGATCCCGTGACCTCAATCAAAACAGTCCGCCTAGTTTTTAACTAGGTGCCCTTGACCACTGACTTGCTACGTCGTTGAGGATGGTGGAGTATTCTTCATGTTTTGTGTAAAGCATTTCAACTCTTGAGTATGTACACTCAGCTAGCGTGAACAAATTCAGTGCCCCTATCATCGCCCGCAGCAGTCGTATGTACCTAGCTGCTGAAATTGATATATTAATTGCGGCCAGTACCTGCTCTTCAAGCTGTTTCCTACAGAGCTGGTCCGCAGCATACCCAACTACCCTTAATCCATTAACACGGAAGGTCGGCATATGACTGAGTGAACGTAGTTGACCGCTTACTTCACAGAAGTTCCCACGCCGCTGTGCTGCTGCTCCTATCTATAGACTTCCATACCCGACCGCACCACCCTGCGTACTGATGGCCTACAAGGATACACTGAATAAATCAATCGGCTCTGAAGTTGTGGTGTCCCAGAAGCAAGTGTCTTATTTTTCAGCCTCTTTTTAACGGACTGTAATTACTAGGCGCACAAGACAAGGCTTCAATTTGATTACCAACCCCGCCTTGTCATAGGAAGACAGTCACTCATTTCACTCATAAACGTTACTGTGATCGTGAATCAAAACGAATTCATGCGCAAAATTGTGAAATTTGCCCAAGATTCCCGGGTCCGTTCTGGTCTTTCAGTGGCTTTAATTCACTTTAAATCACGAGCCATGATGAGACACCACCATTGGTTGGAATGAAACGACTGTGGACGACTTTCGAAACGCCGTTTATTTACTCCGTACTTTGTTTGTGTACTTTGGAACGTTGCACATCGGAATCCCGCCCCGTCAAGAAAAAACAAAAATGCGTTGTAAACATGCGTGGGCATGCTGTAGAAACGTAATCCGGTTGGTCACCACCCGGACTGTAGCCAGGGCAACTTTGCAGTCTCACACCAAGGCTCACTAATTGGAGGCGAAATGTAAATTCGTCGGAAAGACCCAACATACGCTACCTACTACCATTTGATCAGCCCAAAGTTTGAGGCTTCCGAACGGCTCGCTCACCAGCTGATCACCTCTAACTAGACGCCAAACTGCCACTGACCGTCGAGAGACTGACCGCCGATTTTCCCGGTAAAATCGAAACAGAAAGATATTAAAGGCAGAAGCTCTAGGTTGGATAGGATGAGGTGTGCAGAGATAAGTAACAGTGCGCCGATGGATCTGCAACTAGCACCGAAGGCGACGTCTGAGGCCGGTGCAAGAGTCACACCCACTGGTCAGTTTGCCAAGATGCAACTAGCGCAAGTGCTCTCTTCTCACCTGGCATCTCTAGCAAAGGCACTTGTGATAGGCTCTCCTGAAAATGGGAAACTACCAACTCACAGACCCAATCTATTGAAGGCGGCCAGTCCACTCATGAGCCCAGTCATCAGCGATGACACCAAGGCCCAAAGGCAGAGATCCGACAGCACCGTATCTGAAAAGGAATAACCCTAATTGAACAAGCTCCGTAAAACTCGTCCAAACAAAAGGTTTCCTGCTGGCTTAAGGAAAAATAACCAAGCTTCTTAAAAATGTAACAAAAATGAATGCTTCTTGGTGGCTCCATCCAGCGCACAAGTGACGCAAGATAATATCGCAGAGGCACTTCAATGGACAGCGCCAATAGGCCCAAGTAGGGAGCGATTATCGCCAATTTTCACGCAGCAACGAATGAACTTGACAAAGATGGACGGCAAGCAGCAATCATCAGAAATGTCGATCACGAAGGGCAACACTACATCCCCAAACACCGAGTCAATACAGACTGAACACGAAGGACAAGCTCGCCTGCAAACGAGTAGTAGGCATTAGACCCACCAAAGTAGGAAGCAGACACGCATGCCGCGGTGGCCCCTTTCAAGTCTTGGTTTCAAGTGCGGCACATGACTAATAACTATGCCAGGCTTTCCGATGGCACACCCCTCTGTTTCACAGATTCGGATGCGGAGGAGTGCTGTTGAAGTGCTAGTTTTAATGCTGCCTCAAGCCTCTCGACATACTTCTCGACATTGAATGGTCAGTTCTCCTTATAGAACAGTCCACGATCACACAGTAACCTGGCTTACGCCAGGCGCTTGTCTCCGCAGATCGCGATAGGCGGCTAACTTATTTTCCAGGCCGACCCGAAACGCGGGAATGCAGATGGGATTGTTGTGCGCCTAGATACTGTCCTGACTAGACCGGCAGTTTTCTTCGACACTGCTCTTGAACATTTTTGTGATGTGCTGCGGATTCAAGTTCTACTGCTTACGACGATCGTCTTCTTTTCGTCTTTGCTTGCCGTTTCTACCGCCTGGGGACAACCTGCACCTCACGCAAAGATATGAGCACATCAGCTACTGTTTCACGCATCTTTCCTTAGCGTGCTATTATGACGTTCTTGAACCCTCCTGGATCCAGTTCCAGCGCATCGGGCCTAGTATACCTTTTGTCTCAACGCTGGAGTACTTTGGCACAACACGTCATCTCACCCAGTATATACCACGCAGCCAACGACCATCCCTGATGAACTTGGATGCCTCCAACGAAAAGCGCATGGACGAACAAGTGATTACTTAAGCAGTCACCAGTATCTGCCAAGAGGTCGCACATGCTGCTAGGAATACTCGAATTCAAACGGATTTGAAATGCGTATTCCCTCTAGACCAGCTTTGAAGAGATAAATTTACAGGCATATTGTCTGGAACACGGAGATAATGCGGTGTTCCCCCAAAAGAAACAGGTGCTTAGACAGACGGAACCAAAGCTCCTAAAGGATTTGACGTTCCCTGAAAGTGATATCCCAACCATTCTTCAGAAAGACACCTACATGTGACACGAAAATGGGCTGGCATTTTGCAAAATACGGAACCACTCCAAATCAGATAGTTGCTGGTGGAACGTGAAGCGTTATTGCCAGAAATTTAGAAGGCGCACACGAGATGCATCCGAATCAATCTGCCAACCGCCATCTCTCGAGAGGAAAGAAAGGGGAGGTGCGAGTGAAAAACATAGTGGCCTTTGAGGCCCAGAAAGAACATTGTACAGCTTCATGTTCTGAATCAGCGAGCTCATCACAACAAATCCTGACAAGACGGAACTACGGACAGCTCTGAACCTGCCTTTTCTCCCCTAAGTACACTGGCTAATGCTCTTCACCGGATGTTTCATCAGTCAACCATTGAAGGCGATCGATTTACAAGTCCAGTGACCGTTGATCCCTCGGCAGCTAGAATCCTCCTAGTCTCACTGGCACTCTTTGAAGGCTGCCGGAAAGCGTTCTAAAGCTGGTCATTATAAATCATTCCACAGTTCACAGCTCGATCTCCCCAAAGATGGACTGCAACCAAACCATCCTTGGGTGACAGGCGTGGTCGTGTTTAGCTACCCAGTAGTTGGAAAATGTAACTGAATTCTGAAAAACTACGTCATCTGCAAGGTCACCGCCCTCTACTAAAGAATGATCACGTCCAATAAATTGCTATGCAAATTCACTTTTTTATTTTATTTGAGCAAATTTGGCGATTTTGTAAGCTCATCTATCAACATCGATAGTCACAACGGTGCGAAATGTGATAAGATATGGTTTAAAACGTGTGTCAATTACAACCGACGGAGGTAGCGGGAAGTTACGCACCTGAATTGGTTCATTGAGGTTTCTAAAATCCGCATTGTGCTTGTGGACGCAAAATATGCTAAAGTAGTACTGTTGCAAATCGTTTTTGCTATTTATACCTGCTTAACTAGACAGATACCAAAATATGTGTTCTGTGGTCTTTATTATTGCTATTCCGAGTTATCATGGGGTTAGACACATTCACTAATTTAGGTTAACTCGTATGAAGGTGGAAGAACCCGGGGCTTGCAAATGATGATGATCTAAGCAATGTGTCAAGTTTGGTGGTCCACTAAGACCTAAGACTTAGGTCGCTTGTAGCGGAAAGCTAATCAAACTTGGCTGATGCACACAACTAAAATGCGAATACGATGCCCACCCATCTAATCATTACACAGAGAATACATGGACGTTGGGAAGCCACCCCACCTGATAGAAGGGACTTGCGCATTCTCCAGCACGGGTGTCAACCGTCACATGGCACCTGAGTGTTTAAACCAGAAACATAGATTGATCACATCTCCAGCACCATGATACGTACGTGCTTTCCGTTGGCTTGCTTTAATATGGAGGTGCTACGATATGAAATCGTAGACGGAAACTGCACTCGCTTTCCGCATTTGTGCCTCCAACTTGCCCACGATAATAATCTTCACACGACATTGTTCATCTATCACCTCCCTGAATACGCTGAACAGCTTGTGATTGGAAGAAAACTGTTCTCTTTCCATGAGGCAACGCAAAGACAGACTTCCTGTGCCCATGCCTTTCGTTTTCAAGAAGGGTAACAGCTTGTGCCTGCACATTAAATACTGGTGAGTTCATAAAATACTTACTCTAAATGATCTGTTGCGTGTGTTCTGTCAACATTTAATACATCCGAGAAACGTCGAAACAGAGCCATTTTCCGTCGTCTGTAGAAGCAATTTTGGCTATAGTCACCTTACCGCTACTGAAGCAGAAGCAGGCGTCTGATCTCCCGAAGTTTGCCCAGGAACGAAATTATACAATTTACCACATTAGAGCACAACTATGTACCACTTACTCAACAGAGATAGCCGTCGCTTTCGGCGGCAGTTGTATGTGGCCTGAGTGCCAAATAACTTACCGAACCAATCGTCCACAAGCCGCCGAAATCTACTCGACGACGTTCAAAACTTAGGCAGGGTATTGCAGTTGCTAAGTCCCCTTTGATCAGCCATTGATCGACATAAAGCCGATCGCACAAAAACTCAGAAACTCAATGGATTTTTCGAGATAAACAGCAGTGACCGAGGGACGGTCCCCGCCTACTTAGAAAAAATGCAGTTAACAACCAGCACTTCTCCTACTGTATTCCAACAACAAATACGCCAAGATTACTAGCGCCCTTGGGTTATCTCTAGTTCCGTCTGTTACTGGCCGCCTGATGTACTTGCAGTACACCCGTTCGTAATGCAAAACAGCGTTCGTGCTTTGACTGCTGGCTACATGCACAAATACCATGTGTTTACTTCGCACGTGTTAGCTTAGCGCATCCCGGAAGTCCGTGAACGATAGAAAAAACGCACTGCCCCCGAGTTATAAAACCACATCTGAAGCTACTTCTGAAGCTATAGCATAGCAAGTTCAAAATCGAACGCACACCAACAGATAGGAAGGGGGACCAATAAAACCGATCGCGACAAAGCGAAGGTTGATTAGAATGCTTTTCGGTTTGAGCATATAGGCAACTAAATCCACCATTATTGTGTGAAAGTTTACAATAAACTCGCAGAGGTTCTGTACAAAAAAATTTAGCGGCAAGGGAGCGCCCGTATCAATGGGCAGACTACCCAAGCTGAAACAAATGACTGATATCGGAAGCGAAATTTTTCAACTTTTAGGCAGTAATCGCCTACCTCACACACATTTTGCCAATCCAAAAGCTTCATTATTATAATATTCAAAAGGCGTTCACCCGGAGTCAAAGTCGGCTCGATCTACTTTTCTCCGGGACCGGGTCCCGTTGGAGTTCTTCTAGATCACGTTCTGCGACCACTACTGTTTATGATCCGTCTCATCGATGTCCCAGATGCTCTTTCAAATGTAAGTCTACTTTTGCCGGATGACATTTAATCGTGGAGGGTCAACCACAGCACCCAGACAACCATACTATCATATCCTCCTTTCGCTTGCGTTACAGGTGAGCGGGTGTGGCAAAGAAATAAAAATAATGACGCTAGGTTGGGTATACAAAAATAAAGATATCTGATGGAACAGACACACTAACAATTGTTTTCTTTAAAATAGTTCGTCGTTGGCCCAGGTCAGCGAATAAACAATAATCCAATCATGTTGGTCCAGAGGTCTTCTTTTGAACAGTTCCCACATGTAATAGATTCCGAAGATGTCTGAAATGTCTTGGTACCCGAGTTAGTACATGAGACTCGCGAATGACCGCTGCAAGCGCGAGCGAAATCAGAAGAGGGAGTCGAAGCACGGACCACACTTGTATTATGTGAAATTGTACAAGTGCGCGCTTTTGTAGTTTTTCGTATTCAAACAAAAAACGATTATGCAATTGATGAAATACGTAACGTTATAATGGAAGTAAAATAAAGGTACAAAACGCCACACTACTCCCTCACTAGAGCGTTGACTGTAAAAAGGGAAAGCGCTCGAATAACTAAAGTAACGAATCATAAGTTGCTCACTTCAAGATTCCTAATCAGCTAAGTGCTGAGGGAAACGGAAGCGACGTCCGGAACGACTAGTGGAAGGAGTGAGGTTGGCGGGTGGGATATCTTGGTTAGATGTGGGTGTTGTTGGGATAGCAGGATTGCTGGATGTGGTCGTGGGTGCTTCAGTGTAGGCAGGTTTCAGGCGATCAATG